CCCCGAAAAGCTCATGTGTGAGACAATGCAAGAAGATTTAGAAGTGAAATGATTGAGTTATGAGAGCCTTAACAGGATCAGCAAATTAATCCCCTGATAGATATTAACTGAGTGATAACTGAAAGCAGATAGTGTGGCTAGAGGAGGTAGGTCATTAGGGATGTGCCTTTGGTCCCTGGCACATCACTTGCACATGTGCTCTTTCTCCCTTTCTCTTATCCCTCCTCCCCCCCTTCTCAGTGATATGTCCTTGAGTCACTTTCTTCCATCACACTTTTCTGTCATGATGTTCTACCTCACTGGAGACTCAAGGATTGGGACCAACCTTTTATGGACTGAGACCTCTGAAACCCTGAGCTCCAAAATAAACTTTAGCTCTTCTAATTATTCTTGTCAGGTCTTTTGGTCTGGGCAGTAAAAAAAAAAAAAAAAAAAAAAAAAAAAAAAGCTGGCTGAAACACCTGTTAAAGCCCCTTTTCCCTTATTTCATGTATGTCCATCTGAATTGCTAAGTGCATATCTTACAAAGGAAGTCCTGGATTATCTGGCTTGACTACTAAATTATTGTAACCTTGGGCAAATCATTTGACTTTTTAATGGCATTTCCTTGTCTCTACAGTGATGAGATTTTTAAAACCCTAAGAGACAAAAGATGAAGAACTATTATGGGACTGCTGTGTTTTGGATAAGAGACCTCCAAAAGTCCATGTGTTAATTGCTTGATCCTCAGGATGGTAGTAGAGCCCTTAGGAGGTGGGGCCTTTTTGAGATACTTATATAATTGGAACCCTGCCCTTGAAGGGAATTGTGGAATTCCTGGTCCCTCCTTATCCCACACTGCCTAGCCGTGAGGCAAATAGTTTTGCTTTACTGTGTACTCCTATCCTTATGTGCTGTCTCACCATAGACAGGCCCAGAGCAAGCAGGTGAACCAGTCATGGAGTAGAGCCTCCAAGGAGTAAAATAAAGTTTTCTGTTTATAAGTTAATTACCTTAGTTATTTTGTTATAGCAATGGAAGACTGACTAAAACAAACTTTAGATAAGATGGGTATCACATTTAGGCGTGGCAGTTAGTTCCTGGCTTTCATATTGGACTCTAATGGTTATACCTGACTCATTGATCCTAGTAATCCTCAACACTTAGCATAGTGCCTGATTTAATAAATGACAAATGTTGTCTTACTGGAAAGCAGGAAGCTGATTGGGAATGAATATTTGGGTTGAAACTTGAGAAAGAGACTGTGGGTTGAAAAGGAAATCATGTTAGATAAGGGAAGGTAATGTGGGAAAAGATGGCATATGATAAACAATCCCTTCTGAAATTAATGGAAATAGCAGGGACCAAGACTGAAGCAGTGTCAACAATATGGAGGGCCTTGGGTGCTAAAGTATCTTTATATTAAGCTAATCCTATAATGCCTCAAAGCCTTAATGGAACTAAAACATGATTAGCCTATATTTCAAGGTTATTATGAGGACCAAATAAGAATAAAATGTACAGAAATGCTTTATAACCTGTAAAGTACTATCAAGGTATTAATTCAAAACTTTGTCTTGTTTTGGACTTATCTTACTTATGCCACCAGCCCTGAATATGTATCTTCTACCCATGGCAAATTGATTTATCTTCAAATGAAATATTTCCTTTATTTCTGTCTTTCTGACATTGCTCATTGTTTTCCTTCTCCCCAGAGAAGTCTGACTACTACTTTCTACTTTGTCCCATCGTGCTTACCCTGGGAAGCCAAACTAAAATATTGTTTCCTTTATCACTTATATCCAATTTTTTAATATTTTACTCAACTCTTAACATGCATTTACTGCAAGAAACAAATTTAATATTTCCTACTTAATTATATCATATAGTAATCTTTGATAAAACGTTTTAATTCTGCATCTAAAAAAAGGTAGCTCCCTACAAACAGAAATAACATATTGATTTATTTTATATTTCCCATATTGCTAATTGAAGGTCTTAAGAATAGTAAACATGTATTGAGCCTACAAAAATTTTGAAGTGAACTATGCCTATCTTATTTTTTCTTTCAAAAGAAGGAAAATAATCAGTTTGCAAATAATGAATTCAAGTGAACAACTAAACCTGGAGTATCTTAAATTTGAAATAATGTAACATTTGTGGAACTTGAATTCAGTTGTTCAGGATTTTGAAAAATTAAAGAATAAAAAAGTTCAGTGCTTCAGTGTACCTACTCTTTACTCCCAAAGAATGAAATGGAAGAAAAATGTGAACCATATAATACTATTCTGTAGGTCAAAAACAAACACTAGAAATTTCAAATTATTCTATCTAACTGTATAATAATCTCTTTTTAAATTTTATTTTTTTATTAGCTACACATGACATTACAATGATCTTGGCAATTCATACATTTAAATTAATAATCTTAATTGAACTTTCTAATCCCAATATTCCATTACGTACTACAAAAATTATAATCTATTACATTAACACAGAAGTAATAAATATGTTTAGTGAACAGAATAACTTCCATTAAAATCAAACTATTATATGTTGGAAATGTGTATATTTGTTTAACAGCTACTATGTGGTGAAACCAAGGTCAAGTGCTTGTAATAAATAATAGACGTGAACTATGCCTTTTTTGAGTTTGTTTTCTAAAATATGTTAAGTGTGTGTTTGTGGGGAGAATACTCTAAAAACATATAGTTAAGTATATAATTATGAATTGTAATAAATATTGTCATAGAAAAGATATAGAATTACTAAGTATTTTTAGGTTGGGATGGTCAGGGAAATATTTTTGAGAAGTAACATTTGATCTTATGTATAAGGGGTGAGTTGAGTAGGAGTGATAGGAGTGAATTGACATGTGGAGGAAAAAAAAGGAAATGAGGTGGAGAAGAGGTGGTGTAGACCTTGGCATGTACACAGATAAAAAATGTATCCTCCTGGCTGGTGGTACTGAATGAATGGGATACACATTAGAGTAGACTGGACAGTTAAGAACTATGTAGAATAGACTCCTGTAGCCCAGGTTACAAGTTTGTTTTCTATCTTAAGTGCATTGGAAAGCCATTGAAGATTGATAGACAGGGATTTATATTTTATAAAGGCACAGCCTGAGTACTGAATGAGGAAGATGGGGGGCAGGAGTAGGGCGAAAGTAAGGAGTCAGATTAGGGGAATAATGCAGAGAAAGTGGGAGTAAGAGCAATTCAGGATATGTTCCAAAAGCAAAAACAACTGAATCCCTAGTGGATTAAGTGAGGGAACTGGGGATATAGGATTAGGTGGGTGGGTATGAACGTGGTAAGAATAACTCACATATTTCTCACTTAAGAGAATGAAGTTCCCTGCAAGTAGGAGAGTTTGGGAGAGAATCAAGAGAAAAGTTTAGACAAATTAAATTTAGTTGTATATGAACATGCAATTGGAGATGTCACATAKTTGGATATTTGCCAGAAGCAAATTCAGGCTAAGTACAGACATTTAAGAGTGTGATAAAGATGTCCATAGTACTTAAAGCCATGGGAATGATTGTGGAGAGATAAGAAAATAGACTATATGAGGGTACCTTTTTCTTACCTTGTAGAAACCTGATAGGTACTGAATAAAGGCAGCCCAGTATGAAATAATAGGTGGCAACTAATGATAAGCAACAATGAACTAAGGGAAGGAGGGGGTGGGGAACAGGGAGAGAACCAGAATGAATGAGTATAAATGAGYATACATCAACTGAAGAGAACTGTACTTACAGTTCAGTTCAGGTAATTATTACCAAGTAAGGCAGGCTCAGTGTTTTTAGAACTCCCATTTTTTAAAAAAGAGAAATGTGGATTTCCATAATTTTCCTAGTATATGGAAAGCAATTCATACTTTAAATTCTGTGAGAATCAGCATTGACTGAACCACTAGTTTGCAATCTCTGCTTCAACAGGGTACTTCAGATTATTTGGTGTTTAGATAGAGCATTAAGTAGACACAGACAGTAGAAAGAAAACCCAGGAGAGAGTGTCAAAAAATCAAAAATAGAGAGTATTTCTCAACAATTGGAATGTTCCAGATTCTAGTATTCTGCTGATAGGTTTGGTTAGGTGATAACCTGGAAAATGTCCATTAGATTTGCCAGTGTAAAGTAGGTTTTTGGTGGTGACGTTAGCAAGAGCAGTTTAGTGACATACAGGCTGCTCACACGTGGACTCCCTGTCATTAAAATGCACCATTACATTAAAATTCTCTGACAAGGAAACATGAACTAAACAGAAAAGAAAGCAAGCAAACCCCTTCCCACTGAGTGAACAGAAAGGTAAAAAAGCAAAGACTTTAAATGTGGATGTTTCTTTTGGTAAGATTGTTGGTAAAGTGAAACAAAATACAGTCAGACTTGGAAGAAGACAGGAATTAATGTATGGAATTTAGGAAAGAGGCAGCTAGCAAGTTCTCAAGTGATATTTTCAGTTCACCTCACAATACTACAATGAGGCATTATTTTCCCCTTAGAATTGAGTTAATGAGATTCAGAGGTATTAGGTAGCATATGACAGGTTAAGAGTTTAGTTTACTTGGCTATCAGTCTAATGTATGTTTTAACAACTGTGTCATCTTAGTTTTCATAGATTTGCACAGATTTTTAGTGAAAATAATTTAATTTTTTGTTATTCTATTTTATGTTTAATCTTAAAAATTCCATTTAGTGTCTTTCTCTGTTGTGCGTAAGAGTTGCAAATTTTGCTAGAAGAAAACTCTCATATTTTCCCTGCAGACTTTTTCTGAAATGTGACACTGTATAGAAGAACTGGGCATGTTCTTTGATGAAGATAGCTTTACATGGAGTCTGTCAAGCCCTAGACGGTTAATAGAATCAGCATCTGGGTGGGGTGATCACCAGACACTTCAGAGCTGTGCGACATAAAAATAGGTTTTATCTCAGAAATATAATATAGTCTATCTTAAATGCTTAATATTTTTACTTTTTTGCCATTATCTAATATTAATATAAAAATACTCTCTTTTAGAATGTGAAACACAGAAAATATGCAAGGTGGAAGGCAACGTATATCCATAATTGTTTAAAGAATGGAGAGACTCCTCAAGCGGGCCCTGTTGGAATTGAAGAAGATAATGGTACGTATTTATATAGTCTAAGTGAAATTATTTAGTGAGATAATATTTTTCAGAACAGTATTCAGAATTTCTAGGAAGAAATGGTACAGTTTTAATTTTTTTTATAAAGTCCAAAATCCTTAAAAATCAAGTATAAAAATCATAAACTTGGGGACAATGAGAGATTAAGGCCAAATTGCTATAATATGTATTCACATGTGCACATAATAACTTAAGTATCTCCTACACCTTTTTTTTTTTTTTTTTTTTTTGTTTTTTGGTACCAGGGATTGAATTAGGGGTACTTAACCACTGAGCCACAACCCCAACCCTTTTTGTTTTGTTTCATTGTTTATATTTTGAGAGAGGGTCTCACTTATTTGCTTAGAACCTTGCTAAGTTGCTGAGGTTTGGCTTTGAACTTGCAATCTTCCTGAGCCACTGGGATTACAGATGTACCACCATCACACCAGCTTATCTCCTATATCTTAATCAAATTCTATTCCTGTGTAGGAAAAGCAGTGCATTCATAATTTATAAAATGTTTCCAGACAACAAAGAATATTATTATTAATAATTAATTATTATTTTTTGTATACATGTTTGAATTATGCAGGAGTTTGGGAGGATGGTAGGTAAGTAATACATGGTTCAATAATTACAGAGTATGTGAAAAGTACAAAGAAACTTTCTTCTACCCACACAATGCCCCATATTCCTAAGTCCTACCAAAATTCAAATAAGTAAACGTTAGGTTTAGTTTTTTGTGTATCTTTATAGAGGTCATTTTTTAACTTTATACAGACAGCAAAATTTTATCACATTGTAAGTGGGTTTTACACAATTTAATTATGAAAAAAAAATGAAGGTCTTATTTCACTTGACCTTTTAGATAATGTATGATGGAACAGAAAGGAAAAACATTTTTCACTTTTTTTAATTGATTAGACCTCTAGGTAATAGACCATTCCCAAAAGAACGATCCTGTTCTCTAAACTGAGAAAATTCCAAATGATTCCTTATGTTTTGTTACATCTTCATCTGTGACAATGATCTAATGCAGGAGTCAGTAAATTTTTCAAAAAGGATCAGTTACAATATTTTAAATTGTGGACTATGATTTGTTACATGCCGCAGTCTGGCTGGGCACAAATCACGAGCCACTGAAGCAAGAACAGACTTTATTTTTTTACTGCAAGAAAAAAACCTCACACACGCTCCTGGGGAATCCTCCCGAAAGCCACGAGGCTCCTGCAAGAACCCCCCACCGGAAATATCTCTCCGGGAAATCCCTCCTCCTGCACTTTGCCAACCAATGGGAACTCCCGGGGAATCCCCGTGAGAACTAAAAATAGCGCGAGAACTCAAAAATAGCGCTAGAACTCAAAAGTAGCGGCAGAGGCGGATATTAACGCCTTGCCTGTCAATCAATACTGTTGGCAAAATGTCAGGGGCCATACAGACTCGGCTGTGGCTCTCAGCAGTTACAGTTGTTTGACTCTACTGCTACTGTATTAAGACGGCCATAGACAATATGTAAACAACTTAGTATGGTTGTGTTCCACTAAAACCTTTTTTACAAAAGCAGGCAACCAGCCACTGGCTAGTTGGCCTCTAATATGATTCATCTCCTTATGTTTTATGTTATTATAGAGAATTTTTGAAAGATTGCCTAATGTTAAACGAGTTTTCACCATGCAGCAAATCCCACTTGGTTGTGATGTTTTAATTTTATTGATGGATTCAGTTCCCTACACTTGTATCATTGAGGATTTTGCAATACATTTATAACTAAAATTGGTCTACAGTTTTCTTTTTGTTGTCGATATTATGCTTCTCAAATAAAATTTTGAAAATTTCTAGTTTTTTTTCTCTGCTTTGGAACAGACTAAATAGCTTTTGAATTCTCTACTCTGTAAATGCTTCCTGGAAATCTTTTGTGAAACCAACTTGCCCTGGTCCTGAAGATGCTCTTTGGCACTAATTTTTCATGCAAATCTGTTGCCATGGAATTTTTTTTTTCCTCAGTCAATTCACACTAAATGAATGTGCACTGATAAAATAAGTGGTATTTTACTTCTTTTAGTCAATCTCAATAATTTCTTCATATTTATAGTCCTTACCATTTTTCAGTCCTGAGTTACACTTTAGTATAACAATGTGCATACTTGTACAGAGTCGTATGTATCCACTGGCAAAATATGAGTTATCTTGAGTATTTAACAAGATTCCCAACACACCTACTGGAACCTAGAGCTAAAGTTTTACAGACTCATAGAATTACTGACAAGGATGCTGAACAGCTGCATTTCCCATATACTGCTCATTAAAAAAGGGGAAAAGTTTGGTACGTTCATAAAAAATTAAACATATATTTAGCATATAGGCCTGGCATTCTCATTCCTAATTATCTGCCCAAGGGTAACTCAAATGTATTTTCACACAAAGACCTATATGTAAATGTTTATAATAACTTTATCTGTAATTATCAAAATCTAGAAGTAATCCAGATGTCATCAGTTTTAATGAGTCAAAAAATTGTAGCATATCCTTGCACTCAAATACTAAACAGTTAAAGGTAGTGAACAGATATGTACGCAACAATGTGGACTAAATCTCAAAAGCCAAACACAATAAGCTACCTATTATATGATTGCATTTATGTAATGTTCTGAAAAAGGCAATACTATAAGGATTAGAATCAGATCAGTGAGCAGTCAGAGAATAGGGAAGGAGATTGATTTACTACAAAGGAGAACGGGAAACTTAGGGGATGATGGGAATATCCTGTATTATAGCTGTGGTGGTATTTATACACTGTATAAGCTTTTAAGACTACCCATAAAGGATGAGTTTCACTACATATAAATTATTACCTTATAAGAATTTTTTTAAAATAGGAATTAAGGAAAATCTTTGTGTTTTGTTTATTCAAAGATTATTAAGAATTTTAATATGGTGAAAAACATCATACTTTTACATATGAATACTAAGTGTGAATTATTTTACTGTTCATCTCTTTCATACAGCATTTCAAGTTAATTTGTTCCTGTCTATTTATGAAGTATATTTTACCATCTGTTTTTGCCTAATTTTTAAAGTAATTTTTCATACAAAATGCTTCTTCACTGGGACTGGGGCTGGGGCTCAACAGTAGTGCCCTTGCTGGCATGTGATTGATTCTCAGCACCACATATAAATAAATGAAATAAACATCTATCAACAACTAAAACAATTTTTAAAAACCCAAAAAACTAGAAAAATATCCTTTAAAAAAATGCTCCTTCTAGTAATTTTATATAATAAATGCCTCACATTCTTACAGTGCAATAAAACTTGCAAATCATTTTTTAACATATTTTATTTCATGTCCTCAAAAATTCTTAAGATCTAATTCATATAATTCTTGTTTTACAGAAGAAATTGGGTATCGTCATGTGTGGCCTACCTGAGATCATAAAAGCATAAGGAGGCAACCAGAACTTGAGTGTTCTGAGTCCTGACCACTCTGAATTAAGTTTTGGGGTTATTCATCATTACAGTAGAAATTGATTATTTTAAGTATATTGTCCTAATTTTCTCACTTTCCAATTAATATTTTAGAATGTTTTACATACTTCCTTTTCTATGTTAATACTGACTATAATCAGGTATGTATCATACCAGGCCTCATGTATATTACTTCTAGTTTACCACAAGAAAAAAATTGAGATTCTTAGCTAATCAACAAGACTCACCACTGTCTGATAACACTATATTTCACTTTCTTTATTTTCTAAACCTACCTTCTGTCGTATTAATGTGTTTGGGCTGCCATAACAAAATCCTGCAGACTTTATGACTTAAAGAAACGGAATTTACTTTCACCATTCTGGAGACAAGAAAGTCCAAGACCAAGGTCCAACAGGATTAGCTTTCTGATAAGAACTCTCTCTTGGCTTTCATATGGTTCTTGCTGTGTCCCCCCATGCCAAAAAGAGAGCCTCTTGCATTCTTCTTCCTCTTATAAGGCCACAGTCCTGTCAGATAAGGGCCCTATCTATGTCCCCTTTTGACTTTAATATGTTCTGAAGACTCTCTCCAGATAGTAATATTGGATTGACAGGCTTTACTGTATGAAACTTGGGGTGACACACTTCAGTCTGCAGCATTCTGGTCCTTGGAATGTCTTTACCACATGAAAAATACAGTAATTCTTTACTGTGCCCCAAGTCTTAACTCATTCCAACATCTCAGTCTCACCTGTTAATCTGAATCAGATAAATGAGAGAGATTTTAGGTACAATTCATACTAAGACAGAATTATTCTCCAGCTTTGTACCTATGAATCCAAACAAGTTATATGTTTCCAAAAACGACAGTAGTGGGACAGTCATCGATAGAATAGATATCCCCATTCCAAAAAAGAGAAATCAGAAAGAAAAACAAGGGACAGGTCTTAATCAAATCTAAAACCTAGCAAAGGCAAATTCCATTAAGGTTTTAAACTTAGAAATAATCCTCTTTAATTCAGTGTTTTACCCTCTGGACCCACTGGTGTGGTAATATCATCCCTGAAGTTTTGCCCACAAGACTCCAGGACAAGTGGCTCTGTCCCTATGACTCTGGATGGAAGCAATCTAGCACACTGAAATAGAGGTGATAGCTCCACCCTTAAAGAGGAAGAACATATATTTACAACTGAGCAGTTTATGGTTAGGTTCTATGTGATCTAAAAAGGATGACAGCCTTCCTTCATTTTGTCTCTCTCAATCCACTTTAGTCCTGACAATGTTTTTACTGCTAAAATTCCATTTTTATTCCTGGCTTCTGCTTAGACAGCTGATCAATTCCATCAGTTGCACCCTAGTTTCTTTATTAAATGGTTCTTCAGCCATACCCATAGTGTTTTCTGTAAAACAAGCGTTCTAATTTTTTCAGTATGGATAAACTAAGAATTTTCCCCAAGTCTCCCATTTCCTGGTTCCTCTTGGCCTAATAAATCCTTCTTAATTTTCCCCTCTCTACATTTTACTATAAGT